AGCGCGCTTGCGATTTAAAAGAAAAGAAAGAAAAAAAAAAAATTAACGACAGGGAGGGAATGTCTACAAGACGTGAAAAGAGTCAGTTTATCAAGTTTCTTTTCATTCAACCGAAAGAGAGAAAGAGCCGGAGGGCAGACGTTCTCCGTTTTTTATTTATTTTTTTTTGAGAGGGAGCGGGGGTTGGGGGTAAACAAAAGACGCAGAGGCCATCCAAAGTACAAATGAAAAAGTTCTGCGCGCGCGCGTGCCTACAGTCCTGAGGGTGGCTGTTCTCTTTCGTAGGAACATCACCTTATTTTGTATTTACTTTTTCGCCACTCCGAGCCCGTTTTTTCCCATGCTTTTACCTGCAGAGAGCGCACGAGGCCTGCAGGAGAAAAAAAAAAAAAGAACAAAAAAGAACAAAAAAGAAAAAGAAACAAACAAAATACAAAAATCACAGCAAACCTTAGACATCGAATGTACAAAGAGAGCGCGAAACTCACACCGCTGCCTTTTTTTTTTTTTTTTTTTTTTTTTTTTACTGTTTAGTTGCACAAGTGCTCTTTTGTTTCGAGGACAAGGTCTATTCGTTTCAATAATCTTTTTGCTGCGGACATTAAACAACTATTACTTTATCGAAAACGTCAGTAGACTATATACAAAAGTGAAAAAATTGATTTAATAACGCTAATATATGGTAAAAGAAACGTGAGAAAACTCGTATGCAATGTATCAATTTAGGTTGATCTAATTATTCGTTCGTATGAGTTATCCAGACAAAAATAATTTTTATCTTAAAAACTTGTCGATTGAATGGCTTGAGGATTGGTTAACCTTGAGATTGTAATTCTTTGTGAACAGTTGGTATCATCTTTCTATTTTCGAAAAAGTTTAGCTTTAAGGGTTTCTAGCGTCCATGCACATTTTTAGAAATTTCATGAAGCCTCGAAAAGTTGTTAACAACGTTGAGATGCTTCATTGTAAAAAGTTTCAAATAGTGTTCAGATACCTACTCTCTAATTTTTGAACTTTTGCAAATGTTAAAAGAACCATAAGTTCAAGCAGTAAAAGAATTATTACGTTTCATCACCTTCGATATGTTTGCTACTATTGTTCTCAGCACATGTGTTAACGTAGTTAGATATTCATATTTGCCTCTCCTCACATAGTGTTTGTACTATTACACCCAAAGTAATACTTTTTGTAAGGGGTAAAAATTTTTTCGATAATGAAATAAAGAAAACGGGATACTTTCATGCATTGGTATAGGTACAAAAAATTTTACCTTGTGATAATTTGAGGATTGCTGTCGTGAATGCCGTAATGGCCGTTGGCTCCGCAGATTTAGCGATAATAATGTTCCTGTAGAATTTCACTTTTTAGGTATCACTTGAGTGAAATGAATTTTAACTTGTGCAATTTTATGGAATACCTCAGCAACAATTAAAATACCCAATCCCGTACTTTTTGTATACGATTTTGAAAACTGCGATCTGCATTTGTAAGTGAGCACAAAGAGAATACTTGAACTCCAACTTTCATAAAATGTAGATCTCTAAGTATTTTAAATTAGTCGTCAGCGACAAAAATGTCGTTAATTGGATTTTAATCTATTTTTTCAGGCAGTGATTATTTTCCAATTACCTTATCACACACTAAAACGTTTTTTATTATTAAAGTTCAAAGTATGACGACGCGTAAAAGATATTAGGTGTTTCCAAAGACAAAAATATTTTTAATTAATTAAATTTCTCAACATATTTGTAAAATTTTATCAGTGTACTAATATCGTATAAGTATTGAAAGAATGTTTAAAAGTAAGTTAAAAGCAGTTTTTTTTTCCATTTTGACTAAAACTTTGTTGATAAAAAAAAAAAAAAAAAAAACCTCGTTGCTCAGGAAATTAGTCTTTAGCCCAACAAATTTATGAACGATGGTGATAATTATTTATATGGCTATTGCCATTGTTAATACAATTACAGTATCAATTTTGAGTATCTAGATTCAGATGGTCAATCCTCTATGCGTGCTGTTCCATATTCCTTACACCTAACATATTATATTATCGGTATATATGTTTCGTTAGATACGTACACTACATTTAAATATAATGTACTCATGCATTTTTCTAGAGTTGGAGCTAAAATTCGTCAGAAAATGAACGACTTTAATTTCAAGAAATTTAATGAAAAATTGAAGGTGTCAAAAAAAAAAATCTTTGAATTAGATTGGTATATTTTATTATCGGAGAGTTATCGAAAGACAAGTTCTAAAAATCGTGGTTTCAGGCACGTACTACTGTTACGTAGTATTTTTTTGCATATAATATATACCAAAGCAAAAAATTTCGGACTTTATGAGAAAATAATTTCACATTAACAATAAAAATAATTTTTTAGATGAGAAGGAATAGGTGAGTAAGGTATAAAATGTTTTGAAATAAAATACAGTTCATCCTAGAGTTTATTAGTACATTGGTATATACATAGTACAGGAATGTTACAGCCATCGTTAGCGATATTTACACACAAGTCTTGTGTAAAAATACAGCAGTCACCATTTTTTTTCTTTTTATTATTCCTAAATACGTCAATAATGAACTTTAATCTGGCTAAATATTTCTCGCGATTTCCAACCCAACTTTTCTATCCTTGTTTTTTGTTTGTCGGCTCGAAACAAAAAAAAAGACACAAATGCAATTCTTTAATACAGTTGAAAACCAAAAGCAAAAAAAAATTATTTCTAAAACATCGACGTAACATCGATTAATGGATCGCTGCTAGAGCTACGCAGGAGGACACTTTGTCTTCACAAGGGGAGATTCTCCTCTCGAACTTTGTAAACATTAGTTGGCTTTGTAATTAGTATTCAAATCATTTCCGATTTTTTACTCTTAGCTCCAAAAATCGGCAATTTTTCTCAGACTCAGGGTTAAGAAACAAACAAGTCGATTACGAGTACAATTTGAACGCTGGATAAAAACAAATTCAGACGGAAGATTCGTCATGTCCGCTACTACGAAATATTCACACACGGAAATCAATGCAATGGAAGACGTAACAGTATACATTATCATTATTATTATTTTTCGTTCAAGTATACAGCACATAAAAACGGAATCTTATTCCTCGAAACTCCAGAACAATAACTACATCTCCCCGGCCAAACGGTTTGGCTCGACGCACCAACGCCAACCAAATGTTCACTTAATCTCTCGTGGGCCTGAAGTAAAAGTGTAAAAAAAAAACCCCTCTGAATAATCGTGTATACACATATCCTAAAACAAGCTTCGAAGAACGGCAACGGCAACGACAACAACTCATCGAGTGGAAAAAAAAAAAAAAAAACGCCGCACCATACGTTCCGAGCGCACATCATGCGCGGCTTATACATGACCCCGAGGAGCCATTTCGCTCGCTCGCTCGAGCCGTAAAAACGCTAAAAATTGCGCGCTTGCGCGTACTATACGTATCTACTACTTGATATACATCATCCGCGTTCGACGCTTGCACTTATCGAGCCCATGAGAGATTAATAAATAAAACCGGGGCGCTGGCTCGTTTTTATCCATTTATTACGCGAACGTATGTATATATTATATTATCCGTACACACTCATAAAAGCGTACGCGCGCATATGTACACATGAGAAATCGAATTCTTTTTTTCTCCTTCCCCGTTTTAAAAATAAAATAAGCGATCATCACGACTCATATGACCTAACATTATTGTAATTGTTAATCATTAATTTACAGAGTATTGCATCGGAGCTGGGGGGCAGTACCTGCGAGTGTGTGTGACGTGGACGCTTTTTTTTTTATTAGGTATACCTACAAGTGGGAGCTCTTTAGGTTTTTGTCCAAGAAAATGGAAATCGATCGAGGGTTATTGGTCCCTGTCCACCACTCGCACACTTAGCACTTCCACCTTGCATAATTCTTTGTTTGGTTTTCTCATTTTCTATTTTTTTTTTTTTTTTTTTTTTTTTTTTTTTTTTTTTTTTTTTNTTTTTTTTTTTTTTTTTTTTTTTTTTTTTTTTTTTTTTTTTTTTTTTTTTTCGCGCAGTGAGAGCTTGGCAGGACATGAGAACTCGTAATGGCCCGAGACGACTGTCGTTTCGTATTACAACGCACAATTTACTAACAGTACAGAAATGAATAAAATATATGCCTTCACTACCGTCTACAGCACCAATTTTTTTCATTAATTCCATGGAACAATATACATAGAAACGAAGTTGTTTGGCAAGACGGGCCTTTTTAGTTTACGCGTTTACGTAGTTTTACGTACATCGTATATATACATACACAGTAGAGACAAATAGTCATTGGTCGTTAATTATGAAAGTGAAACTGAAAAGTTGCAGTACTACTTTGCAGCGTCTACGATACACACGGGACATTAAATGCTATGGGTATATTCTCTCGTAACAAAGGACGCCTGGAGCTTTCGTAGTATCCTCATTGTAAGCGTTGCAAAATTATCATATTGTAATTATTAGAATAACAATGTAATATCAATAATCATAATAATAGTGAAAATAACGAGGGCAACAGTATAATACATAATCAAGTTACAATGTATATAGAGGAATGATGATGATAATTGTCGAAACTGAATCGACATCGGATCAATTCGGTGATGTAAAAATATGAGGATCAATTAATCCTGAAATGCAAGGGGAAAAAAGAGGGTAACGAACAAAAAAAACTAAACTCTCGTTCGTAATTTTTATTGCCATGCAATAAGTATTTTCCCAACAGGATATATTATGGACTCTTGGGCTCATCCATCCGACGCGAGAACACTTTTTGTTTCATTATAATCTTTATTTTTATCCTAGTATTTTGCTCTCCTTCTATTTACTTTTCATTTCATCCCTACCTTTCGTACAGATGTACAACGATATATTTACACAATCATCACAAAAATATCCGTAACTCGAGATATATTTATGTACTCCCCTTATTTTCATTACACTGTTTATATATGTATATATATGTATGTATATATATATATAATATACGCACCGACCCACGTGCGTGCGTGTGTACACGATTCAATATGTATAATAAGTATATGTATATGTAACTAATCGTAAAATCTCGACACATGTATACAGCCGCAAAACGCGTAGGTACACGTATATGCACCCTGTAAGATACCTAATATAATTATAACGACAACAATAATTATTGTAATAATAATAAAATGATAATAATGATGACAGACCTCGCGCGCCCATGGCATACAGGTGGGCTGTTCATTCCCCTCGGCTACGTCTGTATGCCCTAAACACGTGCGATCTCATTCCCCTCCCCCAAAATTGCATACATATATATGTACGGGCTCGACGTGTATCCTTCTGCCTCGATTCAAGTTTAGTTTGCTCATATATTTACATGCAAGAGCCGTGCCGTAATCTACATCGCTGCCTCTGAATTATTGTATCCATACGAACGTCCGTCTTTTGGGATGCCAACCCCGACTGTACACCCACTCTCTCTCTCTCTCTCTCTCTCTCTTTTTCTGTGTGTACAATGTGTATAATATAATGTTAGGAACCCTGTGATAGCTCGTGTTGAGCGAGTGTGAATCCGCGAGTGCCCCTCCCCAATTTTGTGTGCTCGTACAAGCTGTGTGGTATGGATACACTGATCGGATTAACATCCTGTTCCTGCGAATTCGTGTATACGTGCATGAGAGAGTTTTTACCCGATTGTACGATTCAATCGCGAGGGAAAGTGAGCTTAGAATTGTTTGATTCGTCGTATTATTGTATATGTATGAACAATTTTTCTTTAAATTGTATTTTTACGAAATATTTATGCAAGGTTTTTTTCAACTTTCTTGTTCATTTGGAAAAAGGTGACGCACATTTTTAGAGATAAAAATTATGGCAAAAATATTTTTTCTGTCGCTTTAACAGAGAAAAATAAACGTAACGTCGGCCTCATCTGTGCTGGTGTAGATGAATATGCAAATGTTGAGTACAGGGTGCGAGGAGACGAATGCGTACGTACAAAGGCGTGAATTTTAATTTCATTTTTAAATCCATGTGTATCCGTAGGCAGGGGTGTGCACAATTATTCTATAGAGTTTCAAATATTTGTAAATAAAATTACATGTAAAGCATTGTTTTTGCGGTGATTTTTCCTCACCTCCAAGCATCTTTGAGATAATACGTTAAAAAAATTTCTTTATATTTAAATGTATAAAAAATTTTTCAAATATTTTGACACCCTTGGTTCTTCACTTGTGTCTTTTTCTGAAAAAATTTTGTCAAGTAATAAAAGATAAGATGGCAAAAAATGCATTATTTACATTGGTCTAATTATCACCCAAACGTTATAAAAGCTCTATTCGTTGGACGCGCTTGTCTCTACAGCTCGAAAAATCAAACCAGAATCATCTCGAGGAAACGACGACCAAATCAATGCACCACCTTCAGTCATCGACGAAGTAACGCGTACAAACATAGACGCGTGCACTTGCTTACTTTAGATTGTAATTGATCACGTTTGATCAGGGGGGAAGGGGCACAAAATAGATTACAAGGCTTAAAAAGGCGATATCCAAAGGGTGCGGTGCTATATACATACAGTTCCCTCGCGCAATCGATTGAAACCATCTACTGCGGCGTAAAGATAAAAATTCCAATTTTCCGTCCTCCCGTAGTAACACCCCTCGCCTCGTTGTTTCCCGTCTCCATTCGATTGTTTCGACTCGCCGGGGTGTACGTTACACGAGGGTTGTTACTTAATGGAGGCAAAGAGGACGGGCTGGCACGTGCAGTGGCGCATCCACGCGACCGAATCCTCCTGCCGGCTAATGTGAGCGCACACCCCTGATTCCTTTGCCGATAATCTCCCTCGGATTCGCTCTCGCGTCCCGTGTGTTATTGCGACGCGGTGTACCAGCTATACAGTGACACGGCCGTGTAGGTAAGTGCTTTTCCAGTCGATTGCACTGTAATCCAGGTGTTTCTCGATACTATTACAACATCAAAGGGTTGGATACTTGCCACAGATTTATGGCTTGACTACGTGAAAATAACTAAGCAGTTTGGTGATCAAATAAATTAAATCAATACCCTGTTATTTCATTTGTACTCGAGTAATTTTTCATATTTAGTCAATTATATTTTCATTATGTTAATTTGAATAAGTTTAAAACCACGTGAAGGGCCTGATTACGTTTTTCGAGAGTGAAGAGAGAGATTCTTTAAACGAAATCAACGCAGTCTCGAATCTAAAGTATTTTTGTCACGCGTGAAATTGAAAAACGATATTTATCACCCGTTCAAATGGTGATAAGTCATAACCATCTGAAAACCTTGGGAAATCGATTCTTTATTTACGGTCGATTAAAAAGTGTACTCTCGCTTTAAAAGTTACCCAAGAAAACTTCCATTCCACCAACTCGTGGGTAAATCGGTCCACGGAAAGGTCTAAATTAGCTTATAAAATATTTATTTTGTGAGTGTATGATACAAAAAAAGAATAAAAAATGTATAAAACCCACCGAAGCTCGTCCTCTCGTAAAAGTATCGAAAAGGCCACGCGGACTTGACAAAAAAGAAGCCGAAGCAAAGTGATCGGGTAAGTATTTATCGAGCTTCGACTTTGCCAAAGAAGCCATGGCTAGTGGATAAAAAGCGCGCTTGCGATTTAAAAGAAAAGAAAGAAAAAAAAAAAATTAACGACAGGGAGGGAATGTCTACAAGACGTGAAAAGAGTCAGTTTATCAAGTTTCTTTTCATTCAACCGAAAGAGAGAAAGAGCCGGAGGGCAGACGTTCTCCGTTTTTTATTTATTTTTTTTTGAGAGGGAGCGGGGGTTGGGGGTAAACAAAAGACGCAGAGGCCATCCAAAGTACAAATGAAAAAGTTCTGCGCGCGCGCGTGCCTACAGTCCTGAGGGTGGCTGTTCTCTTTCGTAGGAACATCACCTTATTTTGTATTTACTTTTTCGCCACTCCGAGCCCGTTTTTTCCCATGCTTTTACCTGCAGAGAGCGCACGAGGCCTGCAGGAGAAAAAAAAAAAAAGAACAAAAAAGAACAAAAAAGAAAAAGAAACAAACAAAATACAAAAATCACAGCAAACCTTAGACATCGAATGTACAAAGAGAGCGCGAAACTCACACCGCTGCCTTTTGTTTCCTTACACGTGACGTGAGTGCACTCGGCAGTATTTCTCCCTTTATTAGTTTCATTCGTATCTACAACGAGTCTAGGGGAGCTTAGTTTCGATCGATCACTTGACTAAGTACACGCACCGCAATCGACGGAGATTCCCGTAAATCGGCTGTCACGTTTATGTACAATTCATCTTCTATTCTGAAATCGCGGTAGTTTGGATCGTAAAAATTAAATTGGCAAAATTCGGTATCACTGGAAAAAAAAGCTCGTTCATCAATCACCGGTCATCTCATATAATAAACGATAATCCAAACAACCGCGGGCTACAAGCTTACAACTAGTGCGATATCACGACGTGGTTCTCACCGGGCTCCCGTGGCCCTCGACGCCGATCACGTGTCCGAGAACAAAAACTCGCTCTCGGACAGCAGGACCTCGAGGTCCGAGGGCACGGTGTGCAGATCCGAGTTGGCCGGCTCGCCGATGCAAGACGCTTGGCTGAGCTTCGAGGAGGTCCGATTAGGCTTCGACTTGCGCTTGCGACTTTCCTTGGCCACCGCCGCGCTCCCCTTGCTGCTCTTGATTTTCTTGCCCTCGGCGAGGGTCCGCACGAGCACGCCCGTCCTCGGGACCGCTGTTGGTTGCTGCTGGTTGGCGTTCGAGCTCCTCGTGGCCGGCACCTGGCCCACCTTGTCGGCTTTGCGCAGCTTCACCGTGAACTTGAACGGCGGCTTGTACAGCACCTGCAGCCGGGCCCTGTCGGTCCGCGGGTTCGCCGGCTGCGGGGCGCTTCCTCCGACGTTTATCGTCGCCGCGGCTGCCGCCACCGCGCTGGTGGTGTCGTTGCGTGCCAGGTTGCCGACGCTCCGCGACTTTGAGCCCGTCAGCCTCCTCAAGGGCGTCACTTGCCTGCTTGGGGACCAAAACGGGGGTGGATGAAAAAACAAAGTGGGTCTCTTTCAACGACGGTCAGCTTGGAATTTGAAAAGTTTTTCTTTTTAATGACGTTTTAATGAAATTCGAAGGGAAGCTTTTTACGATATGCGCGTTTGAAAAGAACTGCCACGTGTCTTCGTAACCGGTGGAATTTATTTACGACAGTTTGGAAATTTTTCATTCGCAACGCGCCGTTAAACGGACATTAAAACGTAACGCTCCTAATTCGTGCCGCTACAAGTAGGTGACGTGCACACGCTTTTCCGCGTCACGGGTTTTATACTTTGCATGTACTCGAGACACTTGAATCTCATTACTCTTCCATTGACATGGTTTTCAACTTTACTGTACGGAGCGACGTTTCAACTACATATTATACGGTATAATCGAAAGCGATTATACAAACGTCACGTTTTTTAAGGGGATGTAACATTCGCTTCGTAAAAAAAGGTACCTTATTTATGGAAAATCATGGTCATTCGAGTGAGTCCCATGAAAATAGGTAAAACATTATTAGCTTGAAATTGGGAGGTTTACCCGGATAAAAGGACATTTTATTCAGCTGTGGAAAAAAAGGGCACTCACCGTCCATTGCTCCGACCGGTCTGCGGAACGGGCCTTCCCGCCAGTCCCCCGGTAGAAACGACGGCAGGATTCGCCTGGAGGTTCACGGGGTTGCTCTTGCTCTTGGGCAACCCAACGGCAATGGAGGCAGCAGCGTTAGCCACAGCAGTGGCGGTCTTTGGCGCGTCGACGCGACAGTGGGAGGCAAGCAGCCACGAGCGCACTTTGGTCTTGGGATCGGCTCCGGCGACGGTACCGATGACCACTGGGGTCGGCACCGGGTTGTTAGCCACGGGAAGCGCCACAGGCACCGACGCCGGAACCGTCGGCCCACTTGCCACTGCCACCGGGACCGCTTCGTTGGTCTTCTCGGCTTGAGCTGCCGAGTAGTCGATCACCTCCTTTTTTTTGCGCAACTGCTGGGCCACCTGCTGTTGCTGCTGGCCGTTTGACTTTTTCTTGTCGGCCGGGGCTTTTTCCGGCTTGTCCTTCGCATTGCGCTTCATGAACTGCTGGAGCGCGGAGGACGACGACTGCGGCGGCGGGGCAGGCTTGCTCGTCGTCGCGTCGAGGACGGGAGGCGAGGAGACCTCGGGCACGACGGCCGAGCCCACCTGCCGTGCTTTCCGGGAAATCTCGTCCGGGGGTTGGACGCCCGCCTGCTGAGCCGCGGCTGCGGCTACCACGCGCTTTCGTTTTACCTGATGGGAGAATTTTCTTAAATAAATAAATTGACAGATCTCTCGATTCCATATATATATATACCGATCCTATGTACCGAACGATCATTACTCGTATACCACACGTCGCACAAAAGTATCAATAAATTAACAATACATCGGCATCGAGTGGCCGTTGAGTTGTTCGGTACACGGAGTAGCACCTGATACTAAGCTGAATAAATAAAGACGATCGATCGGCCGGAGGCTTACCCCTATACCGATCAATAATCCAGGGATATAACGAGCACGAATCGAGCGACGATGCAGGGAAGATGATAGCGGATCACACTATACGCGTAGAGAGATCGACCGTGTATACCCCAATAAAGTATTTATTGAAACAAAAATAAACACACACACACCCATCCACGTTGGGGCGGATTAAAAACAACCACGTAACATCTGCCCATCGATCGCCGGTGGGAAGGGAGGGGAGCTAAGACCTTTCATCAACTTTGCCACCCGGGAAAGCTCGGTTAAGCTCCATCTCGGGAATATGTATTGTGTTCCTTCGGAGCTGCCGTCCCGGCGAATTACTTTCCGCGCAGCTGGATTCGACGATATACCAAGGGGGGGGAGTCAAGTTAAAGCAAGCGAAAAAAAAGGGGGGGGGGGACGAGATAAAGCTGGATTATCGCTTCCATCGTCGGAAGGACGGCGAGTGGAAAAACAAGGGGAAAAATGTATAAGACTCTTGCTCACCTTGGCCGCCTTGTCGTGGGCGTCGTTCTTACGCTTGGGCCGGCGACGCTTCTCCCGGACTTTCTTGCTGAGGGGCAGCTTCGCCCTCACCGCCGGTGGATGCACCGTCACGCCCTCCGCACCCTCCGGTGGCAGCCTCACCGTCTCCGTCGTCGAGCTGTGGATTATCGTCACCGACTTGAGCTTCTTGCCCTCCCGTTTCGGCAACAATCTCACGACGATCGCCTGCGAAAGACACACGTCATCATCGTCCACGTGGCATATACTATTGTTTTTTTTTTTTTTTTTTTTTTTTTGGGCCATTGGAGTTTCAATTGGGCGTGGGGAGTAGGCCGGTTGGATTTCACGGTAAATCGGAAAAAACTTTTCCACGTAAGGGATCGCCTATAGCCGATATACATCACCTCCGAGGGGCTCGATTGAACTTTGCTCATTGTTTTTGTGATTCAATATCGACGGGAAAAACCCGACAAACCTGATTCATGTGTACGGGTAATTGAATGCTCCAGGTGGCCGTGTTGGCGATACAAAATATCGGATGGGAAAACCGTTTTCTTTTTTTTTTTTCAAACTTTTAATGGGCTTTCATTATCACGCGAACAATATGTGCATTCAACGAGCAAGCTCCTCCGGTCTTGCGCGTAATATCGAAAAAACTTGTATAATCGGCGCTATAAAGTTGCGGAAACGAAAAAAAAGAAACCCGAGGTTCAATGGTACATAATGACGGGGATCAATTATGAAAATTACGCTTTTCACGAGTTACGCGTCGAGGAGGCCGCTGCGCGAAACTTTGTACATACTTTCCAATTAAAAGATGAATTCCCCCCCCCCCCCTTACGGATCTTGGGAAACCATCTTTCGCCGCGAGTATTAAATATAAGTAAATTAAAGTTTGAAACTTTAGTGTACACGTGTATATATGTATATGTACGGATCGTCAGGCTCGCGTTTGACCCACTTTGAAGGAGTCACAAGGGGGGGAAGGGGACAAGGATATACTTATTTCCCGTAATATACCGGGGATGGCAATTACTCGTTTACACAATTTCCGCAACTGCGCCGCATTTTCATCGAATTATCAAACTTGTCCCGCAAGTTGTGCGCCCCATAGTCATTTATTCAAATACTTCGGGGGGGGGGGGACTCCTGGAAATAAAAAAAAGTATACCTACCTACCTACAAAAGTTGACGTTATTTTCAAGTTTGAGAGTAATGGAAAAAATAAGTAGCTCCTATATAAAATAAAAAAATTAAAAAAAAAAAAAAAAAGAGAGAGACATCAACATAAACGTCGAGTGGGATATGCTTGCTGTATACGTACGAGGAGGCAGTAAGGAAGAAGAGAGCTAAGGAAAAATCCTTTTAAATCTAACGGTCTTTCTTTCCACTATTTACTCAAGGAAAATGATACTTTTTTACGGGGAAAATGTTTCTTTGCTAGCTTATTCATTCCTCCAAGCACCGAGTTTTATATTACTTTCGCAAACTACCACTACCCCTTCTAGCGTATAACGAGGCAGTCGGGGATGATAGGGGGAGGGGGGGGTAAGCACCAGAAGAACAGGCAGGCAGGCGTCTTATGAATACAGTGGCCTCCCCGTTCCCGCGTCTGCCTGACAATTCAAGAACTTGCATTATTATTACAAATTACAGTGGAGGGAAAAGGGAGACGGAGAGAGGAGCCCGAGGAAGAGGGTGCATTTACGCGGGACTGTTATAATAAGTTGAGCAAACGCTCGCTTGAACATCCTCTGTGTATACAAGTATGTGTATACATACACACAAATAAGCAGCTTTTGTACATGTAGCGAATCTTACGTTTACTCGGGATCTCGCGAAGCTGTGGATTTTACTCTTTTATTATTACGTACGTTAATTTTGCGGTTTAACTTACTATTAGAATTATTATTAACGTCTATGCACTTCTTCTTTTCCTTTTTACGTCGACGCTGCAAATAAAGCGTTAAGTGAAATAAAAAAGTTGTTGGTTGCGGCTCATTTGCATTTAACTTGAATGGATTTGCTTCTTTTTTTCTCTCTCTCTTTTATTTTGCTTTCTCCGGAATATTTGTCTTCGTACCGGTTTGTTGCAAGTAAGAGTACCTACTTAGGAATGTTATTCTCAACTAGACAAATTGAGTTACGAAACTGCGGGAATACACTTACTCAGAGTGCAATTTCAATATGGTCTTGCAGTTAAAAGCTTGGGTTTCAAGTAAACTTGATTGTTTAAATATCGAAAGAGTATATTCGAATTACATATACTTAAAAATTTGTTGAATGACAGAAAAAGGATTTTGAGCTCTTTCGTTGAATTTTCTTTGACTCTGTAATGATGATTAATATTTAATAAATAATAATTTAAAAAAAACCTTTTTAGGCACATTCCTTGTAAGTAGAGAGAAAGAGATAATTATTTTTATCACAAGGAGCGAATGGTGTTATATTTGGTTAACTTATCAATTTAATCCGAACTACAGATAAATATCACCACTTTTACCAAAAGCACATAAACACACATATATATATATACGTAGAGGTAAAATCGTAATAATTTTTAGATTTGACGTGTCCCCAACCACAAAATATATCTTTCATTTTATTGACACACCCCAATAATAAAACCACTTTTTATACGTAAAATCCCCCAGTATGATATGTACTATCGAAAAGGAAAAAAAAGGCAATGTACTCACCACCAGAGTAAGAAGAGCGATGAGCACCAACGAGCTGACGTACCAGTGCTCGTACATCCATCGCTTGAAGGTGGCCAGATTCTCGTCGGACAAGAGCAGCTTCCTAAGCGTGGCGAGCGGCCCGCTGGGGTCGACCTCCCGACAGCGCTGGTACACGTCGCAGTAGCCGATGTAGTCGTTGCAGGGCGTCCCCGGCTTAGCGAACATGTCCGGAATGTCGTACGGCGGCGAGTTCCAATCGAACGACGACCTGCAAACATGTACACGGAATATGACGCGACGTTTGCCGGGTTCTCCCCTCTTTCAACTTTACACTTCCCAAGGCGGATTCACAACTGCAAGGTTTGCACATCCAGCCCCAATACATACTTCATAGCTGAGAGGTACGTCGAATTCCATAGCTTTTGTACGGAGCAGTCCTTCGACCGATTCTCGAAATTGCCTATACCCGAGACAGAGAGCGCATATTCAAAGGGAAAGCTGTGTGCACACAAGAGTATTGAAAGAGCTTCGGGCGAAGGTAGACGTAATACCACATGGACACGGAGAAACTACTCAAAACACAAATCGAGATATTTGGTTCGACACTTCCATTCCTTTGTTTTTTTCGTTCGTTGCGTATAGAGGAAAATAAAAATCAGCGCTCGGCCTTTATTGTCCGGGCCATTGTAGTCCCCTAATGAAACGTCATTGTCCGAAACTTGGAAACAGAGTTGGCCGCTCCATCCGAACGCGAATCACGCGAATGACAATATAAACCTGGCCCTTGGGCGCAAAAAATGTCCTTTTCATCCGATTTACCATCGGGGTGGAAACAAACAAAAAGCTTCGACCGAGCGAGTAAACTTTTTCCCTTTTTTTGTTACCGCAAACAAAACAAAAAAAACAGCCACGGTGGGTGGAAGGCACTCGCGTGGTTTTTCACGCGCTACCGGTTCACCGAAAATCGCCTCTCCGGCGATGCGAGAGAAGCCAATCGTCGTTTTTGGACTTTGAAAAACATTTGGACGCCCAACTCGGATGCAGTAGGGGGGGGGGGAAGGACTCAGGAGGGAGTTCCTTCGGCCGGAAGAACCGATCGATCGGCTGACTTTTCCCCCCCTTTGAATACAAAAATATCCGGCGCGCATCCCACCTCTTTTCCCACGACCGGGCAATCGACGCCTGCGCTCCTCTGATGTATGTGTGTGTACCTTACACGTGGCCATCTCCGTTTCACAAAACCCAGGGGAGTGAGTATTTCTCCCCTTCCTCTGTGCTCGAAAACGGAAGGCAACTTTGTCTCCTCCTCCTTCTTGCGGACAAAATCCGGACTTGGCGAATTTATTTGATTATAGGACCCAGAGACGAGAGCAAGACTGCAGGTAAGCGGGGAGGAAATCGCATTTGACGAGGCGGAGGGGTAAGAGGGTATAAGTACGTCCGTGCCTTTCGGTGCACACTGTCTGTCTGTCTGTCTGTGGGAGTCTTAATCAGGTTACGTCCAAGTGCAGCAAGTTCAGCGGGGGCGAGCTTTGCGCCGGTCCTCCTTGCGCGGAGAATTCGATTAAATTGACGCAAGTCCTACTCACTTCTGGAAATCATGCGACTCGACGAGCGACTTCCCCCCCCCCCCCTTTTTTCGTCCGGAATTCCTTGAGAGCCACTCGACTTTTTTTCTTTTCTTTTCCCTCCTTATACCTCCTAACTCGCGCGTATTTTCTGATGGGCGTGTATGAATCACCCGTGCGCTTACGACTGATTTATCTCGCGGATTTGGGCAATTCACCGGCACGAGGGTTTATGAAGAACCTTCCCCGCTCCCTGTTTTTTTTTTTTTTTTTTTTTTTTTTTTTTTTTTTTATCGCGCCTCGTTGTTTAGGTCTAACTTATGTTTGTCCGTTTGTTTCCTCGAGCTTTTCCTTCCGGTCCTCCGACTCGTATAGCTCATGGTTAGTGCATATGTACACAGTGACCCGAGCTTGCAGCCTCTCCCCCCTACACGCGCGATAAGCCAATCTAATGCGACGAGCAACGTCGCTTCTCGGGCGTGACGCCTCCGTGTCTCTTATTTATGGAGGTGACCGTGTATACACGCCTTTTTTTATTTTTTTTGTTTTCTTCCTTTAGGATTTGTTATTCAAAACGACAAGAAACAAAAAAAAAACTCACAGGCACGGCTGATTCTCTCCGGGCACGCGACAGCAGAGCTCGCAGGCCTTGGTGGGCGGGTCGTCGGGCAGGGGGATGCACTGGCAGGACTCGAGTCCGTAGGCGAGGCAGATGCTACCTGTGCACTCCTGCGAACGTAAAAGTAGAGAAAAGAGTTAGCGTGATTATACAAAAAGAGAGGGGGGTGGGGGCGCGTTTAAACTTTCAGAGGGTTTGCGGCTGTCTGGCGGGCCACGGTTTGCGCGATTGCGAATTTAACGGGGGCTTTGGTCTCTCCGGATTCCAGGGGTGAGAGCGAGTTTTCGAGAGTTGACTGCTCTGCGTGTTGTTACGGTGTTGGGCGAGGACTACTTGTACGCTATACAGCTTTACGCAAGATATTGTTGGCGAGGTATCAGTTATACCTTTAACATCAACGGGACGTCCCGACATCCCAACGCGTAAAATAATATTGTAACGCGAAAAGCAAAAGTAAGAGGGATAAAAAATATAATGCCATTGGGTGCAGCAGAGATAAAAATCCATTACATGTATTCCAAGATGGTTGTACCCTCAGTGTAATTACAATAAAATACGCGATTCAAATTTTTATATTTAAAAAAAATAAAGGAGGATAAGCCATTACTCCTATTGGGTTGACGAGCAATTAGCCACGCTCGATGTTTCGAACAAAAACCATGGATGCACGCTTTCGCGCATTGATGATCACATCACCGGCGACACGGAAACCCGTCAGGCGTCGGAGCTTTAAATTTTCGCGATGTATAGATATCATACGCGGCAAACAGCAAAGCGCGAGCGATTAACGAGTCACTGTATGTATGTGCATGTACACAATGTGTACACATGTATATGTATGTATGGGTGGAAGCACCGGAGCGTGCAATAACGACTTACCCCCATGAAGCAAACGAGCTCTTTGTTGCAGATGGTCTTGTTGGGCTTGTTGATCGAGGGGGGACAGTACGGGGTACGTCCGTCGCAAAAACTCGCGTCCCGACAGCCGTTGTCCTCGCGGCACTTCTCCCCGAACTTCAGTCTGCAGTCGGTCGTGCAGCACGGGCCCTGTGAACAATTAAAAAGCGAGACGCCGCTGGTTACTCCTCGTTTCGCTGTGATCGATCGGTTGAACAGGTGGTGCCCTTGTGTTTTTTCTTTGACGCTCTTTCGGACTAATTGCTCGTGAAGACACGTGCATCGACAAGTTTTTTTTTTTTTTTTTTTTTCTCAAAAGATTGAAGATTGTATTGTATTTTTTTTTTCAGTGAATCAAACGAAAGGGATTGTTCAAAATATTTTACAAAAAAAAAAAAAAAAAAAAAAAAAACATTTTTATTGATATTTGACATAGGTGTTTCGTAAAAAGTGGAATTTTCCATCAATAATAAGTATCTTGTACATGGAAATGCAAAGGAAACTCTTTAACAAGAAACTTTTATAATTCCGTTGGATTTGACCTACAAAAAACTTTACGTTTTAGTTTTTATAATACAACACCATCACAACATTTTTTTTTGCTTCTTTTGTTTAAAAAAAGTGAGAAAAAATATTCTTAGTGAGTAAATTATTGCAGATTGAATAGTATCTATTTAAATGAATGTACTTCGCAATTTTCGGATAAGCTTAAAAATGTGTAATACCATTTCTACTTGTACGAATAAAAACTACAATGTAACTAAATGATTAAAAAATACAAAATAAAATGAAACGAAAAAAAAAGTATAATAAAAAAGAGAATTTGTTGAAATTCAACATAATGTACACATTTACTGTAAACATTTTGAACTTATGGATAGATAAAATATCAATTTTGTTTATATACCGACAGGGGGTGGAAAAATAAATATAAAAATAAAAAGACAACGCTGTAAAAGTGTACAACAGGATAAATATTGTATTCATAGCAGTATTTTGTATCCGATGGCCTTTACAATTTGCAAAAAAACAAACTGGAAATACCATGTAATCAAATTATATTTTCTCAAGTATTTACATCACTGTAAAAATTTTACTATTCAACAAATGTAATAATTTATTCAGCCAACAGGACACCCCTTGTCCTTATTGATTCATACACGAAGGCTCAAAAAACCTCTTCTATCCAATTTTCACAAATAAAACCAAATCCATCGCTACACCAGGAATTTCGAACACCGTAATTCTATTATTACGGACCTTTTCTTTCAATAAACCAAAGTACAAACGAATGAATGAATAAAATACGCAACCACCCCTCCCCGTTCTCCCATAGTTTGCCTAATACACCTGCAAATACCGAGCCAGCCGAGCGTGCTCCGTTCGCATGTACATTTTTTCTTGCGCGCAGTCGAGCACACTTGGCTCGCCTCTACCCGCATGCTCGTTCACCATGCGATGATTTACGCACCCATGATTCGCACGCCATGCGTCTCTCTTTCCCTGCTATTACATTAAATGTATCGCCCGCCAGCTGGAGCAAGAACATTATTATTACTATTGTACGCGGTCGCTCGTAAAATGTCAACCCACCCGTTACTCACTCCGGTAAAAAACACGAACAAACGATGGACTCGACTACGAATAAGCAAGTCTCGCATTTAGTAAGAAAGGAATAAATATAATTGTACGAGTTTCGCGAGGGTTTTCCTTCCTCGGTCGGCAAAAAGTAAAGCCGAACAAGCGGTGGCGTCGATACCAATCGTCCCTGAGGTGGACGAGGGGAGAAAAACCGAAGATCCCAGTTCGAGCGACACAGCTCCTTGCCTCAAAATAACGATCTGGAAATAAATCAGTTGCCCAGCCCACACATACAGGAGGAAAAAGCTCACCTGGCTGGGACTGCAAATCGAGCCGGGGGTGAGGGTGCAGGGCACCTCCTCGGCGGGTGGGTAGCGCCGTTGAGGGAAGCAGCACGAGTCCCGACAGTCCTCCTCCCAGCCGCAGTCGCACTCCTCGCCGTCCTCGACCACGCCGTTGCCGCACAGCGAGGCTTGTGGCTCTGTGAAAAAATAAAGATATATATTCAAGCTTTTTTTTTTTTTTTTTTTCACGATGGTTACCAACTTGGGGCGTTTTTGCAAGATAATGGTGGAAACGCAAGAACGTGATTGGTATACAAGTTTGCTGTTAAAACGAATCGAGGACACGTTAAAGCTGCATTGCTTTCTCAAGTGATCAAATAAATCCTTCGATTACAATTTCATCCATCAGTAATGCAACTGTTGCTATTTTTACTATAGCCAAGTCTATTTTCTCAAGCATAAATATTTTGCCCGAGACACAACACGTACGTATCTACATGTGATTTCAAAGCAATGTTGTTTTTTTTTTAACGATACAATTTTAACAGTGTTGATTTCCTTGATGAGCCAAGATACTCGATTAACACGAAAAATCACTTCATGCCATCGCACAAGCTACTACGATACGTTGAGCTCATTTCGATTCCAAGTCTCGTCCAGCAAACAGACCGTGTTTATCCCAGGAGGGAAAAGGCGACCCCACGACGCAGCGAATGCAACCTCAGCGAAACTCGGAAAGACGACCACCTGCGTCCACCATCCGTCTTCCTCCCCCATCGATTTATAAAATTCTCGCGCAAGTAAGGTAAGAAGAAGGAACGACAAAAGTCGACAGCATAGGTGCCAGTGCTTGTCATATTCGCATACACGATGCATAAAAGAGTACAGAGATGGAGCGAGCAGTTCTCGTCGCCCCTGAATCTCGAAAGAAAAGGAGACGAGGACCACACGTGCAGGCACCGAGAGCAAACCTGGCAGGCAACAACGCTGGATCATTGAAAAAGACGTTGGTATATATAATACCTATATATACGTATACCGTTGAGTTTCTTGCTTGCTCAATCTCGACCCTTCCCACCCGTATTCCGTCTAGGCTGTGTGTACCCATATAGGTAAACTCTCGCTACGTTTATTTTAAGAATGGATGAGACGAGGGGAGAAAAAAAATATGGGTGGGCGCGTGTGTTTATACATGACGACGTGATGGGGCAAATAAACGCGAATCGGGTAAATAAAAATGTAAGCGAATCGAATGAGCGCGCAAATATTTGCACCGCTGCTTAATCGTGACTGCCGTTTTCGTTTTGCTAGTCATACATATAATCATGGTGAGGAGATGTAATACAATGGCAGAGCTCATTGTTTCTTTTTTTTTTTTTTTCTCAAAAGATTGAAGATTGTATTGTATTTTTTTTTTCAGTGAATCAAACGAAAGGGATTGTTCAAAATATTTTACAAAAAAAAAAAAAAAAAAAAAAAAAACATTTTTATTGATATTTGACATAGGTGTTTCGTAAAAAGTGGAATTTTCCATCAATAATAAGTATCTTGTACATGGAAATGCAAAGGAAACTCTTTAACAAGAAACTTTTATAATTCCGTTGGATTTGACCTACAAAAAACTTTACGTTTTAGTTTTTATAATACAACACCATCACAACATTTTTTTTTGCTTCTTTTGTTTAAAAAAAGTGAGAAAAAATATTCTTAGTGAGTAAATTATTGCAGATTGAATAGTATCTATTTAAATGAATGTACTTCGNCTACAGTCGTTTACTAAGTTTGGTATTTATACTAATGCTGTTTCACGAGGAATATTTCGATTGGCTGGGATGCATTGCTTCGAGAGAAATCGCAATTATCATTTGGATTATGTTAAAATCAATTATTTCTTTTCATGAAAAACATTTCTCAACTAATATCGCCTGGCAAATCCGCTTACGAGAAATCGACTCTTTTCTCCTTATGAAAGAGAAAAATTATTTTCAAAGCAGAGAAATAAGAAAACTCGCCATCAGTAAAGACCGACCCGAGTATACTTGTTTCCTTGGTCCATACAATGTATACGTTTCCGGTACACCGTTGTAGATACTTAATATTATATTTTTCTTACAAAACAAATAACAAAAAACACGTTCGTTGAAAACTATTGTGGAAAAAAATCCCACTCCCTGCAACCATAATACTACAAATTCGTACAAGAAAATGGAAAGAATTGCAACCACGTCCATATGTGCCATGGCACACACACACTCCCCTTTCCACCAATCCAGCGATAACAACGGCACTGCTCGGAGCAAAGGGTGTATGCACATATATACACACGTGTGTGTGTGTACACAAGGGCACACAGAAGAGCATCAGCATCAACAACAACAACAACAACAGCATAATAGTACACGTGTATACACATACATAAGGTATAGCACTCGCTTGGGTCATGGGCTATTTGTCGAAATAAACTCGCACAATCAGGACTGCACAATGGAGCCTCCCAACTGCTGCCCGTGTAGAGGTACTGTTAGTTCCGAGTGTAGTGGGAGAGGCAGTGAGCCATTTCTGCGTGTGCTAGCTCCAGCTCAGACAGACGCGTGTACGACAACGACCGCGCTCCGCAATGCCGTAACTGTATCCGAACGCCATACGGGTGTGTATACGTATACTGTCGAGAGTACACACGCACACACGCATGCAAAGTCGTACGCTTGGAATGAAAGTCAAGTAAACACGAGAATGTGACACATGTGGGTGAGAGAGAGAGAGAGATATCCTGTAATGTACGTGTGTATACTTACCGGTGAAGCAGCCCTTGGGCGAGCGAGCCTTGGTGTTGAGCACAGGGTTGATGGCGGTCAGGCTGCACGGGCTAAAGCGATTATTGTTGCGCTTGTCGCCGCTCGTCGCACGGGCGAACATTATGAAATTGCCGTCCTCGCCGCCGGGCGTGCATTGCTCCGGGTCGTGCTGAAACGTACGGTAAAACGGCCCGCATTAAGAAGCATCCAACTCTCGCGTTTATTATATACGCTACGGATGATACAGTTTGGGGTGTAGTCGCCGCTCGGGTGGGGGTTTAATAACTCGTTGTCTCAGCACCCGTACCCGGTCCCGCACGAGTGTGTACTTGTATACTCTGTAAATTTAATGGTTTCTCGTACGAGCTTCGTTTCATTGCATTTTTTTTTGTTCTTTCTTAACGCGCTTATCACGCGCACGCACTGCTATGGCGCGCGGAACGAGCTCTTTCACGACAATGGCTGCTGTTTCGTCCTATTGCGAAGATTTTCCGCTCCAGCGGGGGCCGTTGGCTTTTTCTTCCACTTCCTCGTCCTCTACTGCCACTTGTACTTACCTACGTGTTATCATCGGCGTCTCGCTGGAGATTTCTCAGGAGTGGGCGGTTGAGTGTGCGTCTGACCAAACGCGGACTCGTACTACTTAAAAGTGCTCGTTTGTGCGCCCAAGGGATTTCTTTTATTATTTTTTTCCTTTCCTTGCAATAGTTTCTTGCATTGTTTACTTTTTCATTGTTTTTGTGTATAAAAATGAGACGAATGATGTTAACAAACTTGCAGGCAAGTGTAGTTGAACGTACGTCTGACCGAACTCGGACTCGTACTACTTAAAAGTGTATATACGTGAAAACGGCTTCTTTTTTCATTTATTTATTTGTTTGTTATTTATTTATTATTTATCTTCTTGTTACAATATTTACACAGGGGCAGTGCTGAATTTGTTATTGTTTTTATGCACGAAAATGAGATGAAAGATGTATACAAACTTACAGGCGAGCCAAAATTGTGTCCGATCTCGTGGGCGAGGGTCACGTGCGAGACCGCGGGTGGCACGTGCTTGCCGTAGTTGAGCAGCGTTACCAGGCCGGTGTTCAGGGATTTCATGCTGCCACGGTAGTGCTGGAATCAGGAAGAATTTTCTTATTTTTGTTATTATTGGATGCGAGTTTGTGGTTTGGAATCGATTTGTTGTTAAAATGCGTTTAGTAACCAAGGCAATGGAGCAAAAGTACGGTTATTGGATTTGATTTCGAGGTAGTGGATTTGTCTTTGACAGAAACATTGGAGGCTACATTGGGAACAAGAAGTTTGTACGAGCGTCGATTTGTTCGACATAGAGATTAAAACATGGTTGGAAACTTTGTAGTGAACATATATTATGTTGAAAATAATTTTTAATCATGTATAATGTTATAAGCTGTTATTTTGGACTCCTAATCTATACTTTTTCGCTATAGAGACTTTGGGTGTCGTAGCCAAATCAGTACAGTCTTAGAATCTTGCCATGGACATACATGAGATCCAATCACATTCTTCTCTGACTGCCTATCACAAAATTGTCACACTGGCAATCCATTGAAAATGACCAAAAATTAGTATTCTGATAAATGCAGAGGTCCATTGTTTTATTTTATTTTTTTTGTTACTAAAGTACAAAGCATCTTTTCATCATGAATGAAAAAAATCAACAATTTACCAAAATACAAATCTCAACTCTAGTCTTTTGATAAAGTATACTCTTACGAATGAAAGTAAAATAAAAAATTATCCGATTGGCATCCACCCACGCGTTAACCCATATACCAATGTACAGCTGCACGCACGTACGAAAAAAAAGAGAGCAAACGTGAAAAGGCTGACCGAGAGCAGCCGTTTGCTCGCCGAACACAGGGGGGGAAGGGTTAATTAAGAGCCCTCGTCCTGTGGCCTACTTCTCATCGACAAGTACAAGCACAGACACATGCCGATTGACGCCGCTCTATTCACTCCCCTGTTCTTTCTTCCGCTGCTCGATTCAGCGAGCGCGTACGTGTGTTTGCTCATCCGTGTCCTAACGAAAGAGAGAACAGAAGTCGTACAGACCCATGTCCACCTGCCACTGGCGATGCTCAACTCGTGTATAGGTATGGTAGCCGAAGTCGACGTTTACTGCCGCTATAGAGCTTTAATTCATGCATACATACATATACATGCGCTGCAAGCGTGGAAGCGGAAAGGAAAAAAAGCCAGAGTCGTAAAAAGGAGGGCGATGCGCAAAGAAGACTCGAACGCCCTGTTGAGCGGAATAACACCAACAGCAGCCAAGTGTTGGCAATTCTTTTCCCGCCACCCTTTCGCTTTTCTCGCTCTCGTGCATATAATACCATACCCGCGCGTATGTGGAAAAAAGAGCACATAAGCCTCGTTTGCTCTAATGCTCCCAACCAACCCCCCGTCCATTTTCTCGCTTTTCTCCTTTTTGCCCCGCTCTCCGGAGCTTTTCGATTGGCTTCCCTCCTATCTTTCTTTCTTTCTTTCTGGCTACCGGCTCTCTATCTCTCTCTCTCGATTGAGCTCTGCTGCAGCACCTCCGCCACCGCCTTTATTCATCTCCCCTTCTTCTTCTCCTCTCTGTATGCGCTTGTGCGCAAATCCACGCCTTTTTTTTTTTTTTTTTTTTTTCTTCTCTCTCCGGGAGAGTAGTGCTGATGCACGCCGCGCTTTTTGCCCCCCGCTTCCACTCTCGTGCACCTCTTTTTCTTCTTTTTTACACCCAAAGCGCGACCATTCAACTCTTCTCTTTCGTTCTTTCTTTCTTCCTCTTTCCCCCCTCCCTTCTTTTCTAATGATGAAATATACCACCGGACTACCCCCTACCCCAAACCCTTAGCCTCGTGTACGCAAGCACTTTTGGCCGAGTGCACATCAGACTTTAAAATTTCGTCGGCAGCAGCTGTTTTCAGCTTTTGAGTACATATATATGTACACCTAAGCGCTTGTGCCCTTTTTTCTTCTTCTTCTTTTTCTACCTTTCGTTGTCTGCGTATGCGAGTTTGAGGGAAAATGGGTCGGATTTCTCGGTGAAATTTCACGAATTAGCAAACCTCCCTCAGGGATCACGTATATATGTACCGTCGTTCTTCTCTGTTTTGTTCGATTGGCACCCATTTCCCTGGGATAAACCGGCGCGTGTTTTTATCAAATTTGTAGAAACCCGTGTTTGCCCGAAGGGAAGCTTTTCCAGGGTGTATACACGGTGTAGCTCCCGAGTGCTAAATGATGTAGGAAAGAAAAGGCAGACCAGAAAATGCACTCGGGCACGTTTAACCGTGAAATATTGAGATGGACTTTTTTTTTTTTTTTTTTTTCTCTTCGTCTTCTTTCTACCGCTGAATTCAAAAAAATTACGAAATACCGTCGCAACCATGACACGGCTTTGGCAAAAATGCATATTTCTCGCAAGCAGAAATTCTCGCAGCTAACGGAGAAAACCAGAGATACATTCGGAATACCCGAGGGGAGGGTAGGGTAAATCCCCACGCGTCTGAAACAGCGGAATCAGAACCCGTCCGAAATTAGACGAGGGGGCCGCGAATCCCGCGGGGAACCGCGAACGAGGTGTATCGTAGACTAACCAATTTAAAATTAACCCAAAGCGTCCCTGCATCTTTTCCGATAAGGGCAAAAGCGAGCTCGCGAAAGACGAAGAATATCGCGGCGCTGCGTGGGCTCACTCGCGCGGCACAAAAGAGTAAACTTGGAAGGGCGAGAGTATGTTGTTGTTGTTGCCAAAGTTCCTCGGGCATCAAACCGCACTTTGGGCGACTTTGCGCGCCACTGGCACACTGCGGAACCAGCGGAACAAGTTTATTAGAGTTTTACTTGCAAAAAGCTGGCGGGCTCCGGTGCGCGCACATCTGGTGCACTCGCATATGTAAATATTCTAAAGTCAATATGGACTTTGCTTGCGTACCCACGTACATTTGGGAGGTACAGAAGGCGGGTGAGGGGAAAAAATATTATTGTTTAGCAAAATCACCGCTTGGCTTTGTAGTTTTGGGATTTCAAAGGGAGGGAGAGGAGACAGTCGTGTGGCTGAAAGTTTTTACCTCGTGCACTCGACACAGTTTGCAGAAAAACGCGAAAGAAAAACAACGGCGAATCGACAATAGCGTCAATTAAGGGAGAAAAACCGAAGATCCCAGTTCGAGCGACACAGCTCTTTTCCCTCCTTATACCTCCTAACTCGCGCGTATTTTCTGATGGGCGTGTATGAATCACCCGTGCGCTTACGACTGATTTATCTCGCGGATTTGGGCAATTCACCGGCACGAGGGTTTATGAAGAACCTTCCCCGCTCCCTGTTTTTTTTTTTTTTTTTTTTTTTTTTTTTTTTTTTTTTTTTTTTTNTTATCATCCGTTGTAGGGGCGATTTCGCGAACTATTTTTGATTAACCGGAATTGCAATTGCGGTGTTCAATTTTTCGTTTCACTTGTTTACGCTTCGTCGAAATTTTAACCAAAAGTGTGCTTCATCTCTACTTTTCCGAAGAAACGGATAGTACAAAGTATACTCTACAATTGGATTGATTTTCTGAGCTTCAACCACATGCGGGTGATCGCCAACCCTCGTAGAGCTTAAGTTAAAAAAAAAAAAACACAAAAAACAAAAAACAAAGAGTACGTAAATGAGAAAAAAAAAAAAAAAAAAGAAAAAAGGTTAACAAAGCCGGTGTTCGCTACGGGGGGGCAATACCGTAATTGCAGGATGGGACGGCGGTGACGAAAAAAGTTCGTCACGCTTGGGTCGTAATAACTTTTTCGTACCACCGAGTGGGAAAAAAAAGCGAGCATAATCATCATCATCGCGCCGCGGAAAAAACGAACAAATCGCCGAAAATCGTCGCGTTAATTAACTACGAGCAAGTCTATGTTTAATTTTAGAAACTTTTATATTTTTTCGGCAACCCTCTCCCGCTCACACGAGGAGGGGAAAAAAACCTTGGGAAGTTGATAACTGCGAGCTAATTAGATTGAAACTCGCGGCGAGTGTAGCCTTAAAACCCGCATCAAAGGGGTGCTCGTGTTTGGCGTTTCATTCGTTACAGCAATTTAACAAACCAAAAGCTGCTCGCAAACTGGTTAATTAACTCGTGATGATGATAATTCGCTTTTTGTCCCCCCTGACCCTGCCTCGATCTGCTGGACGGTGGAAAACAACAGTCCCTCATTAAAACACGGCAAACTTTGATCCTCTGGGGCGCAAAAACTTTCCCGCAACTCATAAATAAACGTAAGAAAGGCCCCGGAAAAAAAAAGAGACGTCGTGCGTCATTTATCAGTCCAGCTCGACAAACCGAATTTGCAAAGTGTCTAAGTATACTTTGAAGGATCGCGAGCGCTCCGGCGAAGGGAGAGGACAGAGGAGGAGGAGAATGGCACTGCGGAAAGGATGTCTACTATTTATCAGGGCGCGCGTGTCTCTGGAACGGCCTCCAGGGAGTCTGACCTAGTTTCTCTTCTCGTCGGCGAGTCGATGCACCTGGCTTCTCTTCTTCGGAAAATAAATATGGCGCGGGAGGGAAGGAGGAGGAGGAGGAGGAGAAAAATAAGCCGGAAGCAAAGTGATTCGTAAGCTGCTTTGAATAAGGCGGGGTGACGAGGAGACAAGTTGATGGGCGGAAACGTCGTCGGATAAAAGGGAAGGAGGAGGGAAAAAAGACTTACCCCGTTCTTTTCGCATACTCCGCCGGCGTTCTTGAGGTCTCCGGTCCAGGCCAATCCCAGCGTGCCCATCTCAAAGTCCCGGTACGTGAACATGTACGCCAAGCAGAACGCGTCGTAGTCCTCCTCTGTAATCAAGAGAGAGAAGGTTATTTTTTTTCCTAGTGTCGCTTCTTTTTTTTTTTATTTATTTTTATAATCGTTAGTAGTGTTAGCTGTGTTTATGTGGGTTATTTTGTAAGTAAAAAAAAATAATTATGAATAAATTGAATTATCAATTCGTTTGATGTAGTTATAAAGGAGCAAATTGATCGGGCCATTACTACTATTGTTTACAAAGTGGTACCTGATTGATGGACCAGGCTACTCTGTAACCCATCCAATTAAACCAACAAACACGTACTCAAAGTAGAGAAAAAAGAAATCGAACGATGGAATAAATAAAGACCGCAGAGGGGGACAGATGTTCATCCCCCCCGGCTGTAATACATGAAAATGAAGCCTGCTCTTGTATTTCATGAATTGCAACGAAGGGTATTACTTAATTTTTTTTCCAATCGTAAAAAATCGACGGGGAGATAGAAAAAAAAAAAAAAAAACATCGCAACGACCTTTGCAATTCATGATTTCTCTCGCCAACTGTTTGCCAAAAAGGAGACCAAGGAGTTCCCCCCTTCTGGCATGGAAATCACCGATTACTTCTCGAAGCCTTAAAAAAAAAGAAATAAATAAATCCTCGCACACTTGTGGGCTGAAAATTTGCGAGTCAAAAATGATCGGTGACATAAAATTTTTACACTGCCCCCGACCCCCCATTATTTTTCACGAGCACAGCCGTAGAAATCGTCCAGCGTCTATCATTATTTTCCAAAACCTCCGTTTCCACAAAAGCCAGCCCCTTGGAAACGACACGCGTGCAGCTAACGGCGTATCGTATACGCACACCCAATAAAATAAACGTCCACCGTTACCCTATACACCTCCTTTCTTTTCTCTCTAAAAACCCAGTCCCCGAGCGACTTTCCTCCACGTCATAAAATCCCATTATCGCAATTTCAGCAGAGCTCTCGTCACCTAATCCGCTGAAACCCCTCCGAATAATCTCCCATTTCTTCGTCTCTCACTGGCTAACGCGGCCGTCTCCGTTTCCGTATAATTTATTTTCCGAAAACTGGCGTATCAGCAGCAGCAGTGTCGACAGGAGCTCTGAGCGAAATATTCAAATTTCAGTCCAGAGGCCAATAGTATAGCGCTCAGGGTGTGCCTACTGAATTGTATATATGTATACGTACACCCATACACGTGCAGGTAAGCCGATCGCCCCGCTTATGTAATTTTAAACGCTCTTCCGCAGAGGCCTACATGTATATTACCGACGTGCACAAGGTCGATGTGTGTCTTTGGCATACACGGATAGGAAAGGGGAAAAGAAGTGGAAAGGGAGAAAAAAAATCAAGCTACCCCTGGGAAATATCGGGGAAGGACAGAGAGGGAGAGAGAAAGAGTGGTCGTTTCGTGGCTCTGTCTAGTCAGCTGGGTGTATACCGAAGGGGGATGAGATACCGCGAAAAGGCGGCGGCAGCCAACTTATTCCATTTCGAAGTTTTGTGGACGGTGCCTCCCTCTATTCCCCTACCCACCCTCTTCCTTGCTCCGCGGCTACTGCTGCTTATATTACCTGCCGTGCTGTGTGTATATATATGGGCTACTGTTGGCTGCCCGGTCAGCCGTCAATAATGAGAAATGTTTGCCGCCGGGGAATGCGGTCCCACCACAGGCCTCCTCCTCCTCATCCTCTGTTCCTTCCTCTGCGGCTCTCTTAACTTGCCTTTCTCTCTTCTCTTTCTTAGTTGGCTGTGGTGAATACTCTTTTTTGCGGCTTCGTTGAAATACGCGGGTTATTTTCGACCCCTTCCCCCCCTCCTTTTTTACGAGAGTTATGGCGAGTTTTTGTGCTTATGGCTGAATGTGAGTGTTATTTCTGCTAAAGCTCCTTTAGGACGGAGTTTGAGATTAAAAATATTGGGCAATGAAATGGTTTTTGAATATGTATTCAAAAATGTAGGTTATTTGCTGCATGCATTCATGAAGGTGCCTCTGTTATGTCAAAATTCATTTTTGAGTAGTACTAGCCGATTTTGGTCAGCCACTCATCAAGAACTTGTTTAAAAATCAAAAGACCATTTATAGTTTGTTTTCATTGGGATGTGAATATTAAATAACATTATTTAAGAGTCCATATGATGTCGAAATGCATTTGTTAAGTAGTACAAACCGTTTTTAGTCAGACAAGTCTATTCAGAGCATGTTTGAAAATCATTTTTTTTTTAACGTTATCGTTGATTTTTTTTACTGTGTGTGTTATTTTAAATTCCCATATGATAGCTAGAAGCATTTACTTACGTGTAGTAACTTAGTATAAGTCGATACTTAGTAAGTTACTTAGTATAAGTCGATTTCGAGCAGAAATCTATTGTCAATGCAAGTTTGAAAGTCTTAAAATATGATTTGATTCATTAAAAACAACGAATTATATATTAGCGAGAAAAAAATTTGTTGAATAATGAGCTTATCAATCCCGTAAAAAATGAGTAAGCTTTGAAAAAGTACTGAAATAAAAATTTTTAGATTAAAAGAAAGTACACTTGTGTTTTATATTACTCGTTGTTCCCTGAGGAATCATAACACTGCTCTAATTGACAAAAATCGTTTTACAGCAGCTATTATTGTTTCATTTATTAAGACTCGATACCAATTCCAGAATTATGAGTAGATTTCTTTTTAAATACAATTTGTTAATTAACATATTTACTGTGTCTTGTTATCTTGTATAGCCAAAAGCACGGACTCATTCATAAATGTAACCACTTGCCTGTAGTCAAGCAAACACGACCTTTTTATTCATACAAACCGACTCCATATTATACAGTGGAGCAGACGTTTTAATGCACACAAACACACACACACTCGGCCAAAAGTAGATAAAGAACCCCCCCCCCCTGTACCTTGATTCACTGCACATTTCTCAGCCCTTCGCTGTCTTTGTTTCGACCATTACAAAGAAAAAAAAAGAATAAACTGTAACACACCCTCACACATGTAGACGCCCGACCCACAAAAGAATGAAAGCTAGACGGACCAAGCCTGTATAGAGAGCACACAACGTCTGCCTTACGATTTTTCTCCCCCGCCTTGAGCTCCTAATACACGCTGTACACACCACACTATTGCCTCCAAACTCGCATTCCGGTCACGTTTGCAATACAAGCTCGGAACTCCTCGGCAGCAGCCAGCCCTTTGGCAAATATCCCCGTGTGCTTTGCGCGCGAGAGCTCTCTCTCTCTCTCTCTCTCTCTCTTCTCGCGTCGCATACGTTGCAGCCAGACGGTTCGGCTCTTGCGGCTATTCAATCGGATTTCGCCGGGGGAGCGCGAGAGGTAATAACGGACTGACAGTCGCCTCGTGCCCCCGGGGCTTGGAAAACACTGGAAAAACAAACAATATTTTTTCATACGCGCACAATCGATTTTTCCTTTTTTTTTTTTTTTTTTTTAACCATAAAATAAAAAAATAAAAAGCACGTGCGACTCGCGGTTGTAATATTACTCGCAGAGACTGAGTATGACACGCAAAGTTGCGATGGAGTCTGTGAAATCGTAAATTATGGCACGTCATGAATTATACGGGAGTAGGGAATAATGTATAACTAGATGGCGTACGGTTTTGCAAACGCGACAGTGCGGAGTTAGAAGGTGTGGAGGGGGTGGGGGAAGGTTGGAAAAGGGATGGTTAAATGTTACCGAAGACGAGGCTGAGGAGAAATAAACGGGATGTGGCCGCGTCATGAATGATAAACGGGACGAAAGAGCGGGATCAGCAAGTGGTAACAAATTCGTCGGAGAGAGCTGGTGCTTCTTTAATCGACCTTTCGTATTTTCTACAAATGAATGGGGATCAATGGGTTCTCGAGGCTTAGGACAAATGTTTGGTTTTTTTTAGTTTTTCGAGATACATAAACAAAAAAAGTTTAAAAAAGTACTGAGTAAAAAAAAAAAAAGCAAAATTAAAGTCACACAAAATTTCCCATTATTGATACTAATACCAAAACCCATTACTTGAATCAATTAAAATAATTTTACATTAAACAAACGCTGTAAACCAAGCTTTATTATGTTGATGGAAGCCAAACCTCCGAAAAGATCCTCTCTTATCTAGTACACACTCCAATGACGCCAAGACGTATCAGTAGTAAGATCAACACTCGGTCAGCCCCAGCTACCACACACGCCATAGTCGTTAGAAATATTTAACAATTGATAAATTAGACACCAGCTCTGTTATTTTGATAAAAGTCAAACCTCTGAAAAGATCCTTTCTCATCTAGTGTACATTCCTACAGCTCCCGAGACGTATCAGTAGTAAGATCAACGCTCGGTCAGCCCGAGCTACCATACACGCCATGGTCGTTAAAACTATTTATCAAGCGGTAAATTAGACACATCAGTTCTATTATGTTATCCTCTAAAAAGATTCCCTCTCATCTGGCACGCATTCCAATAACCCCAAGACGTATCAGTAGTGAGATCAACGCTTGGCCAGACCCCGTTATGATACGACTATGGTAGTTAAAACTATTTGTCCAGCGATAAATTAGACATCAGCGCCACTATTCCTCGTTAACGATATGCTGTACACTCGTGCATAAATTCGACTGGCCTGTCCATACACAATACCACAGTTAGCGAGGATTGGGGTGAGGGGAGCATTATAAGCGCATTATTCGAATAACACGCTACACCGCTCGGCTGAAATAACGAACGGGCCGAGCCCCTCGTCCGCCTATTACCAGCATTGTTGCTCTCGGAGATCTAAAATCTGGCAGTTAATTATAAGGTGGTGGCCAGTGGGAACCTTCTATACCTGTATACGTTGTACAGTGCGTTGTATGTATAAGGTACTGGTATGATATAAACCTGTTCTGCTCACGCTACTACACGTGCAAACGGGATCTCGGACTTAAAATTCTAGTACAGTACGGCTTTCGGGACCCACCCTGGCATTCGCTGCGGAGGAGCTCTCGCGTAGCAGCTAAAAGCTAAGCAAAGCTCAAGGGTCGAGTATTCGAACTATTTGAATTGCGCGTCCGAGGCATCTCGCGCGGGTGCACGTGTATATAGGTGTATTCGAGCGCAGGCACTCCTGCATACATAATACACGGCGCGAACTGCACTGAAGCTGAAAGCGTGGGTGTGTGTGGGTATATGTACAACTACACTCACCGGAAAAGAGCTCGAGGTATTTTTCGACGCCGTAGTTGCCGGGAAATCGGTAGTTCGGGTCCCGCAGAGCGTCACCGCTGTGCACCTTGACTCGCTTTATCATGAAGCTGATGTTGTCCGGTCGCCCGTCTTGATTAAAGTCTGAAAACAAAGGTGGAACTTTATTGAATCGCAATTTTGTGGCGCTGTTGCCTGGTGGGCCGAAAAAATATCGTACGGGCGTGGGGTACACGCGATAATCGGTTCTTGATGAAATTCAAAGGTGAAGGGCTCTTTTGGTAAAAGTTAAATTTTTGTGGCGCCCCTGGGAGAGCAATTCGTAAAGTACTTTTAATGCTTGTATATCGGTCTAATTTATACGACGGGCAGAGCAGTGGTAGCAGAGAGAGTAGTGCGGTCCCCGGCTCTGCAATTAGAAGTAACACGTGGTAATTAAATTTTTTAAACGCCGCGAATTTATCGCACGGGCGCACTGCACGTTTTGTAATTAAAACGAAAATCGGTCGATGTTTTCTTTTGTTTGCTCGAGAAGTAAATTACAGAGCGCGCGCGTGTGTGGCGCGCTACTGTACTTTTATTTGTTTTCCTGATTGAGGCAAAAATAAATTTGCAACGGAAGCTCATGAACATAACAAAGTTCGTCGTAATTTTCCGACTGCAAGTATACAATCGATTCGTCGAGGCCAGAGCTTTTCAAGGATTCGTATTTTTATCTCGCCATGAGTTTGGAATAATTAATTTTTAACTCCACAATTTCCGGTAGTATACCTTAATCGGTTGATCAGAACTATCGACCGATTTCAATGTTAAAAATAAAACCTCACTACCTCCCGGACTGTAATAAATTAAACAAAAAAGGATCTGCGTCTAATTTGTCCTTCCCAACCTTTCGCTACGACTCCTTTTCCTTCTACTAACGGGCAAGTCCTAAGACTTAAAAACTCGATCCGAGATCTGATCCGTCAACGCCGGGGGTCGAGCAAAGTTCCCGAAAACTTTCTCTCTCCTTTGCCTCCGCAGTCGGAGATAAGTCGCTTCTCAAATCAACGAACAGATGTACGTACAAGAGACAAAGAGTCTTTGACAAGTCCGAAACACTGCCGTAGATTGAAGGGGCGGGGGAAGAGCCGCAGTACACGAGACTTAGCTTTGGGCCAGTAGTGCAGTGCCGGTGGAACGGGATCGAGTTAAGGGGTAAACTAGTTAGCCGACGCTGCGGGCCAATCGCGAGCGAGCGCTTTCCCATCGAGTCCGAGGAACTTGGTTCCGCTAATTGTCCCGCTCGATTTTCCGGAGCGGTGGCGTCCGTCGTCGCTAGCTTCGCCGCAATTAATCCCCCCCCCCGCCCCCATCGCTTAACCCAGGGCCTTTTTTTTGGCTTATTATCTCTACCCGATTACCCCGGGATGATTCTGTTCTTTTTTTTTTTTTTTCCTTCCCCTCCATTTCTGTGCCTCAGCCATATCGGCTCTCGCTTGGCTGCATCGCTATACCTCCGTTCATTTGATATGGAAAGAGCATCGGGGGAGGGATGAAAAAAAAAAAAAAAATTTAACTAGTGAAACGTGTCGTATTTTAAATTTATGCACTCGAAGGGGCACAAATGGCCCGTTTGTGAAAGTAATATCTGCGTTTATTAGGGAAATAAAAGAGAGAGTCTCCTCGTCCCGTGGCTCTGGAAAATATTATTCCTCCGCCGCGAGAATCGTGAGATTTAATTCACGATTTTCGTGGAATATCGCTCGTTCGCGTTTATGGGAGGAAGGGGTGAATTGTGCTCGCTCGAATCATTGAAATATTGAAGCATCGACGGTTTTTACAATCTACAACTTCTCGGAGGTACGAATAAATATTTCCAGCCAAGCCTACATATATATAGGCAAGAATATTCCGATCGCGTTTCTCCCTTCAACACGACGTCCTTAGTGGGGAGACGTACCATCTCGATTTTTAATGGATAAAGTTGCTATCACAAAAGTGAATTTCTCTGATCTGATTCCACGTGAAACTCGAACTAACTATACTCTCGACGGATCCGAATCTTCTTCTCCGTGAGAAAGGGATGTACTGTATTTGATTACAGATTGAGTTTACTTATTACTTTTGAGATGGTAATTTTTTCTTCTCAACTTTAGCGTCAGAAGGAAGTACATAATGTTTATGTAGAATTTTCAAAAGTTCCATGAAACGCATGCATTAGTAAATAGTTCATGGTTAATTTTAAGCGTTTTAGGGCACTGAAGGGTCATCCTTGATGAATGAGTAAACACTTACGTGCAGGACCTGCCTTGATTATTCCACCATTTCCCGTCTCGAAATGCACCAATGTCCATACGTATGCAAACACGCTTAGCCCAAAGTGGACACCTAATGGCAGTGCCCACAAAAATCCCTCACGTCAATGATTTTAATTTTTACCATCACGCAAGTTCTTCCAAAAGCATATGGTTACCCAACTCAGCGACTAAGTGACGGCGTTACACGAACCACGTCCGATTTTTCCCTTATTTTCCCAGTGGACGCGGCGGCGAACTTTTCGCGACACGCGCCAAAACCGCCAAGGCGCGTGATACATTTATCTGCAAACGCGCGGCATAAATAACCAAGATTTATTGACGCTTTTCACATTAGAGTACGCGCGCTCCTTCACCCCGAAAGTTCGGAATCGATGCTCGGCTCCCGAGAGGAAAGTCATCGGCAGAAGGGGAAAATCATTACTCCTAGGAAGAGCTGACCCCCTTCCGGATCAACGTAAGACCTTAAGCCGATTTCGTACCCCGAGTGACTGCGAGATTTCGTTGCGTCTCGGTTGATAGCGCGCGCGGTTAAGTGCGTGTGGGCGAGTGGGTTACTGAGGGTTATGGAGATTGCGCTCGCAGGATCGTCTTTTTTTACGATGAATATTTGACTGATCTCTCCACTGGAAAATTTTCAAGTATGCAACCACTTGGTGAAAATATTTTACTTTTCGAGTACGCGTGGATTTCACTGTACGAATAGGGTAGGTGGTAAAAAAATGATGTCATTCTATTTTATTTATTTTTATTCTTTGTTAAACTTCAAATCGTTTAAAGTGATTTATTTTCACTGCTATACGTGTATTCATACAATCGTAACTTTAAATCATGAGTTTAGAGGAAAAATATCATTAATGAAATTCAGATTGTCCTCGAAAATTCGTGAACAAAAAAATGGCAAATCAGTCTTGGGATTGTGTGTTTGGATTAAAAAAAAAAACCAATGCAATTATCGATTTTTCCAAATTGTAGTAAAACTCTACCGTACAAAAGCATCATCCACGTGTCGTTCCAAAAAAAGTGATGACTCGATTAATTTTGTTTTCTCGGCTCCTGCAGGCAAAAGACAATCGTTACACGCCTCGATTATTCGACGCGCGTCCGTGTTTATATGTACACAAGCACCGGCATTTACGTAACCATCGTTCGGAAGATGTACGACTGCGTTGTACAATACTTTACCCTTATCTTAACTGAGTTTTACGAACGACGGAACTCGGGTAACCCATCGAGGCGCGAAATTGCGCGTCAATCAATTTCCGTTAACGTTTTCGCTGTAAAGTTTTATAAATTCAGCGCTTGTCAATTAACGCGAGTGTCCACGATACACGGTCGCGTGCCCGCGAATTAAACGCGACAGCGTTGTTGAACACGTCACAATCCGGACTCCTTTGTCCGATGCGTTTGAGCTTCGACGGAAAACACATCGCGTTGGTAATTTTGCGATAGGAAATTCACCGCGCATTTTACCCTTTTTGCGAAAGAAACCTCATAATGTATCATCTCGAGAGTGCGATTCCCACCTAATCCTTCCTATGCATACATACACAAGCTTAACGACAGCCTGTTATACAGAGCGTCAAGAGCTGGGAGGGAGATCGAAAAGTCGTAACGACCACGGAACGGAGTCGATTTGCATTTTCAAGTGGCCACCCCCCCATAGGTTAGTTAAAGTCCTTCCAGAGGACACCAAAGTATATACGTGTACATGTAGAGAGAGAGAGAGAGAGAGAGAGAGAGATGGCGTAATACCGGTGTGCTTGTAGATCTCGTTGACTTTCTGCACGTGCCTGGTCATAACTTCGATGCAGGCCTCCTCCGTGCCGTATCGCGCGAAGAACTGATGGTCCGCCTGGAGATACAGCATGCAGGTCGTCTTGCGCGGGTCCACCGTGTCGCGTTTGTTTAGGTGCCTCGCGTGACGCTCCTGCTGGTGCTCCTGGTATATCCTGCAACAAACAGTTTTTTTTATTTTTTTATTTTTTTTTTACATATTGTGTACTTAAAATGTAGAGTGTGGGACTTTTTTTATTGTTTAGGGTCGTTTTTCGAGTGGCCGCGTATTTTTTCGATCGCTTCGCGGCGATTCGCGAAAGCCTCGAAACTCGGTGATTTTGTTGTTTCGGTACACAAACGCCTGTTTGCGTATTTTCTTTTTGCACATTTTAGGAGGAGGGATCGGCGCATAGAGTGTTGATGGTTTCGAGCGCTGGTCGGGTGGCTTTTTTTTTCATTTTATTTTATTTTTTTTATTCAACGACGCCGCGCTCGTTATTTTGTTGTTTTCTTTGATTACTGACCGTACGGTACGGGGGGTTGGGGGGGGGGGGCGAAAACACTCGGAATTGCAAATTAAATTTGATTCGGCGGTTGTTTGCGACCGGGTGGGCGAATACCTACCCGTTTGGGGAATCCCGAATTTGTTTTGCGATAACTGCGTCCTGTGTACAACGGGTCTGACGGTAATGTTTTAATTTGAAATTAGCGACAAAGTGATTTACACCATGAGAATGAATTACTTTGCGAGTATCGCACGAGGAGAGGATTTTTTTTACGCTGAGCTTCTCGTTACCTTCCAAAGTACTTGAACTTTCGTTCTGATGGTTTTTTTTCTTTTTTTAAATCTCATCTCGTCTCTTGAAGTATCGTTACATCCGTGAAAAAATTGACCCAGATGAGATTTCATGAAGATTATTAGTGTTAACAAGTCTCACTTCGCAATTTGACGTAATTCAACGAATATGACTTTTTTTTGCAATTAAATGTCAAAACATCTAAAACGATACTCTTTTTAGATGATAATTACGCACTTTTTAATACTTACAAATATATTTTATAAGATTTACAAAAAAAGTTTTACTCACTATACACAGAATACTGGAATATATTTTATTGTTAAGAATTTTCGCGAAACCACCCACCAAATACCTGTGAAATCCCAAGAATACTAGAAATATCAAAATTACCGGAAATTTTCGATTTTCACAATCATCGAGACGAGATGGAATTTCGGTTAATCTCGTCCCTGAAATTTTTGTATACGCATGAACTGTACGTATGAATTCCATTTCGACGCATATTTCGCAGACACGGGTATACTGTGTGTTTGCTTTGAGTATAAATTCTCGTGTCGGTACAGCTTTCATATTTTCAAGGTACTTGTTTTAGCATAGCTACGCACTTTATTTTTCAAAGGAATTCATTATTAAATTTGTGTTTTTATTACAGATTCAGATTTTAAAAACATAGTCCATCAAATTTCACACAGCGATTGACTATTAATTAAAATTTTATTCTGCCAACAAGCAAGAGCTTTCAATGAGAAAAATTAATTTTCCGCCCTCGGGTGGTTTTGGGAGGCTGGTACTTCCTCGGGCGAAAAAGCAGTTTTCCGGAACTCGTTCGAAAAGTCTCCTTTACGAACATCGTTACGTCCCTCGCCTTCGGCTCGGACCGCAAACCTCTCGGTTCGCAAACAAAGACTTTTCAAACTCGTAGGAAAACTGCTATTAAAGATGAGGATACATTTATTTTCCCCACAATCGATAAAATAAACTCTACGCAAAATGTGAATGTGTTCAAAGGGATCAACTCGATTTTTGGAGGAAAAAGGTAATTATATTTTAGATAGGAGTAGTCCGAAAATGTATACCCTGCTTCTCCTCAGCCGACGGTATCTATAGATCTCCAGCTTTGGATCAGCGAAGGGAGGGGCGAAATATCTTGGGTGAAATCTTCACTTCGGGAGGGTCAAAAGGGTAAAAGCAGATCCACGTACCTTTCGAGATTATCGCGCTGCACTTCCGGGAGCTCGGTGAACTCCTTCGAGTAGAATCCGCCGTGCGATTGGACCTCATTGTCCAGCAAGTGTTCGTAGAGCGGCTCCGAGGTATCGTTCGACGATCCGGGCCTGTGAAGACAAAGTTAAGGTTATACATACACAAGCGCGGAGATCCATGGGTGAACGAGTAATTTTGTACAAAACCCTATTCTGCAGAGATAAGGTATAATATAACTTTCTTTCAGTGGACCTTTTATTCCCTTTGTTCCCTGATATCATTTCTTAATTCGATTAAGCGATAAAAGAAGCCGAGGGAAACGAAGAAAATGTAATTTCCGCTTTTTGTGCGGTTCGGGAAGCTGAGCGCTTCTTACTTTAAATGTATACATTGTCGCGGAAAATCAGAATCCAGGAGGGACGCTGTGGTATAATTTTTTTTAATATTTATGAAATTCATAACACCGATGGAGGAAATCATTTACGATTTATGAATAATTCATTTTCTTTAATTCAGGAATTTTATTTTTTTACATTAACCATACAGCTCTTTTTATGTGGAATAATGAGAAGATATACTCTAAAGAATTAATCAAGTTAAAATTAAGTGCAATCAGTTGAATTTCGAGATAAGAAAGCTACCTAAAAAAAATACTATATTGCATGAATCAAATCAAAAAATCACTTATCATCAAAATAAATAAGCTCAATAAGTTAAAACTCACATAGATGCTCTAGAAGTGAAAAAAGTCTGTTTGGGTATATTCTCATTACAAGCAAAACTAATAACTACTTTTCATCTACGTACCTATAGAGTACATTTTTTACGTATTCGTGTCTAAGTGACTTTTAGTTCATTGATTAACAAGAAAAATAAAAGATCTAGTATCCGATTTTTTAAAACTTTTTTTATGGTACAACACCTTTGATGAATAAATTAACGTTTTCTACCATTGAAAAATAAAATGTTCCTCTTTCATCGAGCCCATGGCAATAAAATAAAGCTACATTTACTTTTGATACTTCGAACATTTGAAGTTTAACACTTGCATCGATTAAATTCCACACGCATCAGTTCTTTTTTGTCGTATGTTCAATAATCATTTTTGTTAAAAATGGCGAGAGTGATTTCGAATACCACTCACCTCCGATCCAGCTAAAAATTCGTACGGAAGGATTTTTTGACGTTCATTGAAATTGGTGCAAAATTTTTGAATACCTACAGGTCGCTCCAAAAAAAACGTACCGATATTCTGGCAAAATTTTTTTTTCAAGCATCATCCTCAAACGTGTCATTTATGATAAAAAGAAAACTCCTACACATTTATTAAAAAATAAATAAAGGCGAGTGTATTCATTATTTACATCCAAAAAATGCCCAAAAAATTAAACCCAATGAAAAAGCATCATTGTTCCTATTTCCCGAATAATGATAGCTCAAAAACGATAAGACAGTGGCATCTCACTTCTGCAACGACTCCCGAAGTCTGCCATTCTTGAGATCCTGGCTGGCGCAGCGCAGCGGCTGGCTCGGCTTCTCGACATCGGACTTGCGATAGGCTATGGTGTGGTAGTACGGCGAGGTGTCGTCTTCGTCGCTCGAGTATCTGCTGGACGGCTCGATGTAGTACTCGTCGAGGCTCGTCACCACGCTGCCGTCCAGCAGACCGTCCTCCGTCACGACGGCCTGGACCGACGCGTTCTCGTCCTCTGTAACATTTCAAGGATATGCGTTCCGTTAAACGGACTATACGTGACCACTTTTTTAGTCGAGATTTATTTTTTACCCTCATAACTCGTGAGTGCAACTAAATAAAGCTGTAATGAATCGTCGGAGTACGAGTAGAGACAATAGATGGAATTGACAATTAGAGAGTGGCCCATGTAAATCAATAATGGCACGTCATCAATGCGAGTTGAATCTAATAGCGGATCCAAGCGAATGTCACATCAAAGTGCGAATGGAAGAGTTATCCTATTAATGTCCCGTCAGGCTCTGTTTCGAAGAATCGAAACAATGAATGTAAAAATCGATTGCACCACGTAACACGACGTAGTTCCCATTGACTTTTGCGCGGGTATGGCAGTGCAAAACCGAAATACGAAACGATGGGCTACACGAAAATCTCTCGCGGAACGTCACTGACATTGCTAATCCGATTGCCCTTTTCCACGTTTGGTGAACGTATACGTTTAGAGCAATCAATAGAGCTGCGGTAATGACGTCAAAAAATATTTTTGGTAAAATATCGTCGGAGAGAAAAGTTCCGTAAGTGTGTGTGCTATACAGTACATGATACGATGTAATTTATAAATATAATTTATATACTGGAAACATTTTTTCCAACTCCATGTATCGCAAGAAAGTACCAAAAAATAAAAAAATAAAAGAAAGCTTTGCATAATTAGGGTTACTGTTATATACATGATATATATAGAATATGCTTCAATCCTGGTAACTATTATTTTAAACAAGAATTTGTCCTCAAAAAATTCAAAAAATCCAATGAACGTGATGTGGTTAACTACTCATACTATATAAAAAATTTGTGATATTTTAAAACTAAAACCAAGACATGTAACGCTAAAATATTTAATAATAATAAAATATAAAAACATAATTTTAATCTCTAATATTTTATTCATTAACGGTTACGCAAATAACAATACCCAAAAGTTTCTCCATCAAATGCAAACCATCAAATTTTTATTACAATGTCGTCAATGTCCGATAAAATTTTACAGGCGAGAAAAATAAAAATACATGGTTAACAACGATGATATGATAAATAAATCAACGAAATATACCTACACATCGAAAATAAATAAGGTTCCACGAGAAGGAGGAGGAAGAGGATTACTATCATCAATTTATTGCCCAGTAGTGCGCGTCATAGTACGCCCACCTTTTTGGAAAGCCAATTTGACTAAATTAGACGGGGGCTTAAATTTGTCCTTAAGTAAGTGGATATATATTAATGTATTTTATGCTATCTCACGTAAAATAAACACAGAGCGTTTAATCCCCCCGTGAATTAACTCGGGTTATACATTACGTAGTAGGTATACCGTATTCGGGCTCAAACAATGTAAGATTTATTAATGAACCCGCAGGCACTGTGCCAAGATACCAACTGTGTGCTCACTCATCTATTACATAAATATGATGATGAATTTTTTTTTTTTTTTTCATCAAAATATTTTACCATCCAATAAAGTATACGTATCATACAGATGTCCTTCCCGACTCTCCTTGTATCCTTGCGATCTACTCGGTCCGTCTTCATACCTCCCGCTTACTTCCCCCATTATATCTACGAGCTCATACAATCAAGGACAAAGGTGGCTTCAACTATCCTTACATAGATAGTAACGGCAAAATTAATACCAAGAGCTATGGGCAAATATATATGTATGTATGTATGCCAAATATAAAATAGCCACGTAATGCCACTAATGCCTTCGCGCGTGAGCGCTCCGTCGACGCGAACGCCGTGATTAATTTCATGCGGCGTCGAAGGGAGGATTCGAGGATGCGGACGAAGGAGAACGTGTACCATTGTCGGGCCGGATTATTGGCTGGGGTGGTGTAATATAATGGGGAAAGTCGCGCGCGCGTGGAGCCATTGTCATCTGGAAAGGCCCAAGTGGAGGCGCTAATTTCGTTTGCCCCCCTCCCTCACGCGTTTGGCTACTATACGTGCGTTGGGGGTGAAATGGAAATCGTGTATAAGGTTTAATTTGCGAGACTCCAGAGACTTCGAGAAGGCCGGGGGGTCGTGCCTTCAATTAGGGTGAGATTAGCGATTAAGTCGCTTTTGTTTGCGAGTCATTGATTTCGTTTGGGGGGGGATTATAGTGGGGTAATGAGGAAGAAGGGATGCTCGTTTTTCACGCGACTAATGATATTTTCCGTCGGTGACAAGTACACAACGTAAATATCTTTACGAGACACTGTTTGCTTTTGTATCCTACAAAGTTCGAGAGGATCGATGTTATTCAACGCGAAGATTTTTTTTTTTTTTCAGGGATTACATTCTCCCTTCGAAGCGAGCGATTCAGAGTTATATGGAGAAAAAAAAAAAAAAAAAAACAAATGCATTTTTGTCGATAAAAGTGAGGAGTAATTGGCAAAAAAAAGCATCCGTTGGGGATTTTCGCAAGCTCGCAGAAGTTTCAATGCTGATTCGGATTATTTAATCAAGATTCATCGAAACAATGTTCTTTTCTTTGGAAAAATATTTCAAAAATTATAATAAAAACCGATCCTAGCTGTAGTGTAAAGATACAAATAATGTACACGCCATGTAAAAAATGACGAAAATGGAATTTCTTTCATAATGTTGAGTTGATTTTATCCTCTACACATAAGTAAATTTTCCACCGCCAACTATGTTGCTAATACTTTGTTGCTAAATAAATAAAATTGATTGAAGAGTCATCCGAGTACTTTGACCCTCCAGAAATATCGTACGAAATAATCCAATGCAATGCTAACACATAAAACTCGTGCCGGGGTCAAAGTATCTTAAATAAATGAGTTATCTCCAAAACGTAAATTTAAAAAAAATAAATGAAACCGTACACGTGCCCGAAGTAATAGTTGTATATAGACTCTATAATGGAACATTTTTTTCCAAGCTCACGCTCATTTTTCATAAACGAGCGCGACAAAAGCACGCAAATGAGCGTACAGCAAACAATATATGTATATATTATACACTAAAAGCTCACTATAAAACAAGAGGACGGGGAGAACAAAAAAAAAGAGCCCAAGCATGCTATAGCGAATTTTTCATTAGACGCATTAACAGGGCACTCGAGAAGAGCAGCAGGAAAATCTCCGTCCCGTTCGGGGGGAGGGGAAAAAAAAAGAAGGCAAAACCCGAGCACAACGTGCTGGCGCTTAAAAATTACGTTTCCCCGGCAGGGAGGAGGAAGATGAGTCGTGAAATTAATACGCCTTAAGGCGGTAGGGCGCATCTGATAATCCGTACTCCCCAAAGGGGGGGGGGGCTTTCTTTTTCCCTCCTCGGCAGGCGCGAGCAGCGGGACTTAATTGGAATCTCCCCTCGAAATTCCGCAGCACTGGCAGTATATAGTCCAAAAGTTATTTGCACAATGGGGGAACGGCATAATCTCGGCGCAGTTTTAAGTGACTTAGCTGCTCCTTCTTCTACTTCTACTTTGTCTCTTTGCGAGGGGGGGGGGGTGAGGGTTCCTCCTCTGCTCGACAAAGATTTCCCGTAACTGCGGGGAGAGGAAGCCAAGGCTTGCCACCACCACCACCACCACGACCATCACCAGCAGCTTTTGTCTTATTCCAATTTTTGCGCTTTTGTCGCTCGAGCGCGCGTGTGTACGCGACGAATTTTTCCCGAACGAGAAATCATTCCGCCGAATTTGAGATCTTTTGTCCGGGTAATGCCGAACGCCCGACTAAAGTTACTACAGTCTCCGTAATGGGGAATCGAAGGCCTTTGTCTCGGCGAACGAGTCGATCACTCGCGGGGGAGCCGCAAATATAATCGAGCCAGCCGCGTACCGCAACAAAAAAAAAGTACTTGAGATATTTACATTCGTCATTATTGTACAAAACCATAGAACAAGAAAACAACGAGAAGCCGTGAACAAAAAAGGCTTGTATTATTTACTTTCGTTCCCTCCCCCGCAGAGGAAAGCAAATTTAATTGCACTTGCGTATCAAAAGGGGAAAAGAATACGTATACGCAAAGAGGAGGAAAAAAAATGGCCACACAGAAGAGGAGAAGGGTGGGTACAGTACCACCGAGCGAGTGAAGGAAAAATTGAACAAAGCGAGCTCGGCCCGTGTTTATATATAATATGTACAGAGGTAGGGTACTGCTTCGTGCAACATTGATACACAAGCGAAAAGTACACACCGGGTAAGGTATACATACGCAGCTCCAAGAAAGAAAGAAAGAAAGAAAGAAAGAAAGAAAGAAAGGTATCACAATGGCGGCTCGGGTTGTTCTCCTTTGAAGGAATACCTCCGCGAGTAACAAGCGAGCACACAGAAGGTAGGAGGAGGGCGGGGGGAAAAAAAATAAGGAGCTCCAAGATAATTTCCAGCGGCTCCTGATGTGTATTCGGGCCACGTGTCGGGGCATTAATTCAGCTTTGGGGGGTAAGGGAGCGATCGACTGAATTATCGCGATCCGTCCTATCAATTACGCCGAGGAACCGGTCAGCGCTCGTCCACCCCCGTATTTCATCCAGGCCACCTGCGTCAGCTCCCACCGGGATCTATGGGGGTGAAAGACCCGAGCTTCCGCTGGAAAAGAAAAAGAAAAGGCGGCAGAGGCGTCTGGAAAATCTTGGTGCGCGCGTAAGTGCATTCGAAGCCTTGCGAATTATATAAGTACACTATATATATATACCTCGCAGCGGATATAGGAGAGAGCACCTATTCGTTTGCTCGAGGTTCGTGCGCGCGCCACCAGTATCATCTACCTTAGGTATGGATTCGACGACTTGTTTAACCCGAAAAGACACCGCTCGAATATAGATGAGGCACACGCGCTTTCGCCGGGGAGAGTGGCCGCACATAGATCCTGTGTCAACCTTCGGGAGGGGGGGTGAGTTATATATATATATATATATGTTACCCCACCTAAGAGAAGACACGCGCGTCGGCTGCGTTTTCGTGGATATTATTGCGTGCATGTGAGGGGTTGGTGTACGCAGTG